CCCGGTCGGGGTCCTTGCTCTGGCTTGTTGTCTCTGACGAACTTGTCTCATCGGGGACCTTGTCCTCTCCCACACTTCTTCGGGATGGGGCCTTTCCAGCCGCGGTCGTCGATTTCTGGGTTGAGGCGAGGGGCTCCTCGAGTTCCTGTTTTGGTCTTCCTGCGGGGGGGACCTCAGCGGGACCTCGCGTTCTAACGCTCCAATCCGTGTGTTCACCTGGAATAACAGCTAGTTCGTCTGGTCGATGGTCGCGAAAAGGGCGGCCACAGCCGGGTCAGCTCCGGCCGGGACAGGGACAGACTGGAACGCTGCTGGGCTTCGGGGCCGGAGGGCCGCCTGGTGTGCGAGTTCCGCGGATGATGGGGACGCAGTCTGGCCGTCCCTCTCGTCGGTCTCCGCTGGGTGGGATGTCTCCGTTTGCAGCGGGGATGAGGACGAAATCGTGAACGATATCATCGCGGTGTGGGCTAGCCATGATCGTGGAGTGTTGGTGAAACTTTGGTTCGCTTGCTCGGAGGAACGGGGAAGTTTCAAGTTCCCACAGACGACGCCACTGATCTGACCTGATCAGAAGGGGACCACTAGCTGGCCACACTCTGTTGTACTGCTGTCTGTTCACCGGTGATGAGGTGGAGGAGGGGGTGTACCTGCAAGGCACTGCGATGCCAAAGTAAGTATATGGGCAGAGTGGTCACAAACACAGAAAAGGGGTAAGAAGTGAATTACCTGACCCTTTTGTGGAATAGGGTATTTATAGAGGGACCCCAGCGCTGGGCCAATGGTCGCTTGCGTTGGGCTGGATTGCCAGGCCCAACCCATGTGACTGTTAGGGCTTACGTGGCGTAGTGAAGACCATGACGTGGTCTTTGCCCTAGTCCAACTGTCCCTTGATCTTCGGGAAGTGGGTTTGACCTGCTCTTTCGGAGGTGGGCAGTTGGTCGGTGACGTGTCCCCGCGGAGGGGGGCACGTGGAGAACGCGCGCAGGGCATGTTGCTCTCCCCGTGGAGGGAAGCTCGGGAGGTTCCCCAGAGGTGTGTTGTTCTCCCTGCGGAGGGGAGCACCTGAGGGCGTGGGAGAGACACGTTGTCCTGCTCGTCGGTATGGGGATTCTGCCCGTGGGGGGCTGTCCTGCCCGACGAGGGGACGATGACTGGCAAATGTCTTCCCGTGAAGAGGAAGCCGCATGGGCGTCTTGAGGCACGATGTTCCCCTCGGCGGGCGCGAACTCTGCCTGTCGAGGGTTCACGTGCCCGATCATCTCACTAAACCCATACTGGGCTTTATTCTGTATACTATTGGGCTGGGCCGCGAGGCGAGGCCGGGGCCCAGGCCAGAACAATTATTAACACTTAAAATTTCTAAGATACATAAAGATAAGAAATTTTAAAAACTTGTGCAATAAATAGTTATAAAAACTTTAACTTAAAGTTATGCTCGTTAGATTTTTTTCTATTATTAAATAATCTTCCTTTAAATCTTCAACTCCCTTTTATAGAGGCGGAAAAAGAGTCGTTGGAAGGAGACTTACACAAGTGTTCTTTGTTGAGAAGCATTTCCAAGAGAGACGTTGGAAGATAAATTCGATTAAGATCATTATCCATTGTGTAATAACTTTGAACATTGTGTCTTTCTCATACTAAGTATCGACTAAAATGTTAGGACAGACTTAAGATGTGACATCAACTTTCCTTGAGCCTTGAACTAAGAAACCCTATTTGCCCTTTTCACAATCTGTTGTTGACAAGATTTGTATGCTATTTGAGATATAGTACGGACCAGAAGCTGATCACTTTTAGCCGAGGTCTTCAGAGTCTGAGCTGTCATCAGAAACTGAGATACCACAATCAGATTCTGATCCTCCAAAATCTAAGATACCAAGTTCAGAGTCACCAATATTTGATCCTTCATAATCTAAGTTTTTTAGCTTCTCTACATATGCTTTCATCAGGGTTAGTTCTTAGTTAAATTTTAAGCGTATGATCTTGCATACTTGAACATATGTTAGTATTCTCAATTGTTCTTTAAGTACTTTGTTATCATAAAAACCTAATAGAAATGAATAATTTTGTTCCAACAGAGAACATTGAAGACCAAAGCAATTAAAGGTCTAAGAGTAACCAATAATGACCCATTCATGACCCCTGAGGATGAGAAGGGCATGTTTACACAATAAACAACTATGGTGGCACCAAACCCTATGTTAATGACATGTTTCAAGGTATTGAGATCATGTAATGACATTTCTAGGAGATTTTCACAATGATATGTCCATGTCAGTTGTTGACAATGTGCTTTTTTGTAATGTTTAACAGTTCCCAAGTTTCATTTTGACAGTTGCACATTATGTGCCTTTGGACAATGTTTGACAATTCCATTGTATGATTTTAGTTTCATTTTGACAGTTGCACATTATGTGCCTTTTGGTAATGTTTGACAGTTCCATTGTATGATTTAAGTTTCATTTTGACAGTTGCACATTATGTGCCTTTTGGTAATGTTTGACAATTCCATTGTATGGTTTAAGTTTCATTTTGACAGTTGCGCATTATGTGCCTTTTTGTTATGTTTTTAATGACATTTGCACATTAAAGTGCTTATTGTAACGACTTGTTTTCGTATTATAACTGTTGCGTAATACTTTATGTTTCAAATAAGAGTCTCATTCATTAATTAAACCAAATATTACAATTACAAGAAAATTGAAACGGTCTCATACTAAAGTTACACTGAAATTGATACATTAGGTATCCTAATGGACAATTACATCATGTTGAAGAAAATAACAAACAACATCCATGAAATATTTAGGGCAGCAGTCAACCAATAACTTTTTCCTTTTGTAGCATATTCTTTTTTTTCTTCAAGTTTTCTTGTTCATGAATCTTTTCCACACTCCTTCCCAAATTCCTTTCCAAACTCCTTCCCAAAATTCTTGTCAAACTCTATCTATAACTAAGCATATATTCACAGTGGTTGCAATCAACCTATAAACTTTTGTCGAGTTCATCATTCCAAATAAATATATCATAACTTATATCAGTCTACAATTACAAACAAATGATAATTACGAATTTGGGGAAGAATGACTTTTGTTTAATACACTGTAAGATACAATTTCAAAAAAAAAAAATCTTACCTTTTTCTAATTCCTGCATCTCCAAAACTTTCTCTTAGGATTTTCCGCTATATTCGATGCCCAAACATTCATTACTAGATTACAACCACATCTTGGTATTTGACTTCCATTCGAAGTTACAATCGAGGAACTTTAGCTACTTACCATTTGAAAACCCTAATTCAACTTTTTCACGTTTTTTGGGCAACATTTTGACAAACGAAGGAAATGGATTGTTGTGGTTGAAGAAGAAGGTGTTGTCGTGAAGAACAGATGGAAGAAGAAGAAGGAATCGATGAAAAAGGTATTATCGTGAAGAATGAATGGAAGAAGAATAAGGGATGGAAGAAAAAGGTGTTATCGTGAAGAATGCATAGAAGAAGAAGAAGGGATGGAAGAAAATGATGACTGTGAACCAATTAAATAAATCCAAGTTGAATATTCTTTTTTATAACGTAGAATTATTAAGTCCATGTGTTAGTAAAAATATTGAAAATCAAAATATATTGACCACCAAGCATTCCACATAAGATCCGCGGGCGGATCTTCTGACTAAAAAATTTAAACAAATAATATCTTTAATTGGCAAAATTTATTTCACAAAAAACAATTACAGAAGAAAATCATAAGTTTTATATATATATATATATATATATATATATATATATATATATATATATATATATATATATATATTCTCACTACCCAAGTAAATTATTAGAACTCACTCTATATTTTGATCATTAATTGATAGTTAAATATGGAGAGAGAAAAACAAATTAGTTAGATGATAACTAATTACCAATTATTTTTAATCATAAATTAAAAATAAACTGGTTCAGATTTTTGTGTCAGTTTTAATAACTTAATGAATCTAATAAAACCAAATTTGTTTTTATAGTAATTAATTCAATTATTTAGTATACTTATTTGAAATAAAATTCTAATAGTGACGAGAATCATTTCATTCAATTACAACCAACTATACCAATTAAATATTATATTATATTTATTTAGTTAACGAAATATATTATACATATTATACTTCTCAAACACTTAAATTAACCATGAAATTTGTAACAGACTCAATCAATGACACAAGTATTTACCTAACTAGAAATGAAAATTATATATATACATATATATATATATATATATATATATATATATATATATATATATATATATATATATATATATATATATATATATATATATATATATATATTAAAAAATAGAAACAAAATATTTAAATAAAAACAAATATTTTTAAAAAAATACAAGAAAATATAATTGAAAAATGCGGATAAACAAAATTCCACTAGTATTTATTTATTGAAAGAAATTTATTGCAATTTATTATTTGTTTATTAAAAAAAAAAAAGAAGTAGCTAACTTTGAAATAAACGAAAACGAAGCAGACACAGAAGATGCATAGTCTTGTGCCGTGTCTTAATAATAAATCAAACCAAACATTTTTGTCTATTCATCCATCTACCTCAACTGACCCGGTAAACTCAAAAGGTTTGTTTGTCCAACTTCTTTCAACTCCTTGCCCTTCATTTTCTCTCTCTATTCATTCAATCTTTTTACTTTCTCGCGCTTCTTTTGCTATTCTTAGTTCCTGATTTATGCTCTTTAGATGCATTTATTAACTGTGATGTTCATGATTTTTTTGATAATTTTATGTAACTTTAGCATTCAACTTGGATAATATCATTGATTAGTTATTAATCTTTAACAATCATTAGCTGATAAGGGTTTGACTTAGATGTATGCGAATAGGATATGAAGTTTTATATTCAGATCTTGTGTTTTTGTGATAGCATAGATAGATCCGAGTGATGAAATTGGTTGCTAGAAAGAAATTAGTGTGAAGCAAAAATGGGGAATTCTTGTGTTGGTCCTAGCATTTCGAAGAATGGTATTATTCAATCGTTTTCGGCTGCGATTTGGCGTACACACTTACCTGAACAGGAAGGATCAGTGTCTAATCGAGGTTCGGTGAATGAGGTAGTAACTGGTAACGAATCCGAATCTCCGTTGCCTGTCCAAAACAAACCTCCGGAGCAGATAATTATACCAAAGCCAGAGACGAAATCCGAAAAGGAACCAGAAAAGGAACCTGAAAAGGAAAAGAAGAAGCAAAGGAAACCTTCTGTGAAGAGAAGTTCTAGTGCAGGACTTCGTGTTGATTCTGTGTTGCAGAGAGAAACTGGTAATTTTAAGGAATTCTTTAGTCTAGGGAAGAAACTCGGACAAGGTCAGTTTGGGATAACGTTCTTGTGCATTGAGAAAGAAACCGGGCGTCAGTATGCTTGTAAATCTATTGCGAAGAGGAAGCTTGTAACCGATGACGATGTTGAGGATGTGAGGAGAGAAATTCAGATAATGCACCATTTGGCTGGACATGCTAATGTTATATCCATCAAAGGTGCTTATGAGGATGCAGTGGCGGTTCATGTTGTGATGGAATTGTGTGCAGGCGGTGAGCTTTTTGATCGGATTATTCAGCGTGGACATTATACCGAAAGAAAGGCAGCTGAACTTATTAGGACTATTGTTGGTGTTGTTGAAGCTTGTCATTCTCTTGGTGTCATGCATAGAGACCTTAAACCTGAGAATTTTCTATTTGTCAATCAGCAAGAGGATTCGCTACTCAAAACTATCGACTTTGGATTATCTGTGTTCTTTAAGCCAGGTACTTTCTGATTGAATAAAGGGTTAAATCTGTTTCTAGTATTATACTGGTTTCGCGGTGTTTTAACCTATGCGTTTTTAACCGAAACTTCATACAATTGGTAAAAGTTAATTGGTTATGCGGAAAAAAGTTGATGATATTTTGCTTCCAGGTGATACATTTATTGATGTGGTTGGTAGCCCATATTATGTTGCCCCAGAAGTTTTGAAAAAGCGATACGGTCCTGAAGCAGATGTTTGGAGTGCCGGTGTTATCCTTTACATTCTTTTGAGTGGAGTACCTCCATTTTGGGCCGGTGAGATCTTGTGTTTTTTATGAACATTGTTATTTTCTTGAAATTTTATATCTATACTTTTCTGATTATTGATATTCCCTCCCTCGTCGTGTGCTTATAATGGTTTTGTAGAAAGCGAACAAGGGATATTCGAACAGGTTTTGCATGGTGATCTTGACTTCGCTTCAGATCCATGGCCTGCAATTTCTGACAGTGCAAAAGATTTAGTAAGGAAAATGCTTGTTCGTGACCCTAGAAGACGGATGACTGCACATCAAGTATTATGTAATACAGTTTTTCTAATTGATTTTTCGGTCTTTTTTTAAATGATAATGTTAGTATTTTGTTGATAGTGGTGATGATTAAGGACACATCTTAATTGAACGAACTTTGTTTTTTCATGCTTATAAGTTATATATGTTCAATTTCTTGCAGGTCATCCTTGGGTTCAAGTTGACGGTGTAGCTCCTGACAAGCCACTTGATTCCGCCGTATTAAGTCGCTTGAAGCAATTTTCTGCTATGAACAAGCTCAAGAAAATGGCTCTTATAGTAAGTTTGTCGAAGCAGAAACTTCAAAGTTGTTTTGAGTACAACCATAATTACTCTAAATTTGTTTAAATTGAAAGCCTTTCCTTATGTCAGGTTGCAAAGTGAAAATGAGATGTTATAAATTGAACCTTTTCATTTTACCATCCTTTACGTTTTTCAGGTCATTGCAGAGAGCTTATCAGAAGAAGAATTAGCCGGTTTAAAAGAAATGTTCAAGATGATAGACACAGATAACAGTGGCCAAATTACTTTCGAAGAACTTAAAGCCGGTTTGAAAAAAGTTGGTGCAAATCTTAAGGAGTCTGAAATTTATGATTTAATGCAAGCGGTAAGTATCTTTTGAAGAACATGTTATAAAATAAAACCACAGTCGTGATTCTTGATATTTCAAGGAATCTCAGGCAATTGTGGCTGATGTGGCCTCAACCGCAGAGACAAAAAAACCATCTATGTAACATATTGCTATACCTTGAAATTGTAGGCTGATGTAGATAACAGTGGAACGATTGATTACGGCGAGTTCATTGCGGCAACATTGCATCTTAACAAAGTTGAAAAAGAAGATCATCTATTTGCAGCTTTTTCTTACTTTGATAAAGATGGAAGTGGCTATATTACTCAAGAAGAACTTCAACAAGCTTGCGATGAGTTTGGCATAAAAGATGTTGGCTTGGACGAGATAATCAAGGAAATTGATGAAGATAATGTAAGTTGTCTTAGCTTATTAGCTTTATTATTCTCTTTAGCTACCTTCCCTCGACATTAACACAGACACAGACACCGTATTAATATAACCGCGCTTTATCTTATGCAGGACGGGCGCATAGACTATAACGAGTTTGTGGCTATGATGCAGAAAGGAAATGTTCCTATGGTTGGTAAGAAAGGCCTTGAAAATAACTTCAGCATTCGTTTCAAGGAAGCATTAAAATTGTAGTATTCAATTCCAGTATTCAGAATTTTTTTTTTCTTCTCTTTTTTTCCTTTGAAAGTTGAAGATTTTGTGCAATAGCACGAGTCATTGGAGGCCAGTTTGGCCTTTCAGCTATTTTGTCTGTGTTTAGTTTAAATGGATTTTTGTAATTATGAGAATGTATTAGTTAAAATAGAGGTGGTGTTTTGAACAAATGATATTAAAATAATAATTTTTTAATTTACAAAATTAATGGTTTAAATATTACTAATTTATAATTTAATTATGGGAAATACAATACTAGTGTTTTAAGGCACTCATTTAATAGTACAAAATAGTAAGTTTTTTTTAATAGAAAATTGAACCGGTAGGCTTTGCCATTAAGAGATTGTGAACTAGAATGTCTTAGCTTAATTATATTGACCTTTTAGGTCTCATGTTTGAAGGACTAAGGGTGTGTTTTGTAGAGTAGAAGTAGGAAAGAGAAAAGTTGAAGAGAAGTAGGAAAGAGAGAAGTTGAAGAGAAATAGGGGAGAGAGAAGTTGAAGAAAGATTAATAATTTCTTATCTCTCTTCAACTTCTCGTTTGAAAAGAAGAGAAATTGAAAAAAGAGATTAAAAGAGTGGTTCCACACCTTTTATATTTCTCTTCAATTATGATGAGAAAGAGAGAAGATACAATAAAATAGAAAAATGACTATTTTGTCCATTTAATTATATATATATATATATATATATATATATATATATATATATATATATATATATATATATATATATATATATATATATATATATATATATATATATATATATATATATATATATATATATATATATATACTATTTATTATAAAGACATTATAACATTTTTAAAAATATACAACACTTCTTTCTTCTCTATTTCTTCTTTCTTTCTCTTAAACCAAACAATACCTCAAATCTACTTTATTTCTCATCTTTTTCTCTCTTGTTACACTTTCTCATATCTACTTCTCTCTTCACAACTTCTCTTCCAATTCAAACACACCCTTAACTGGAATAATTTGTTTGAATTCTAAATAGGCCAACCCATATTACACTTGGTTCGAGAATATTACAACAGGAGATGGGTGCATAAGGGCGACATCATGTGATGAGCACGTGAGCTCATCCGACTTGACTTAACATGCCTTGGGTACGAATTGTCCGTTTCATCTTGAACGTGTTAATGTGTCAACACACGTGTGATAGCAGTAACAACAACACCTTTGAATGAATGCAATCATCCCTCACTGTTAAGGGGGCCGATTGGTTCCTTTTAATCTAACGTTCTAGTCAAACAGTTGAATACTACAACTAGTCATTCATCAACAATTTAGCATATGGGTGACATATATAACTATCCCAATTTCCGAGGTTATAAAGGATCATTCAATTTTTATAGATTTTACACTTAAAACTCTCTTGTACTTTTACACGCGAACATGGTTCATCTGATTGTATTTATCACAAACTCAATTGATATCCACGGTTAGACTCAGTAAAATTGACACGAGCCTCAAGTTCTGTCTAAAGTTATTTAGAATTATTCTTGTAACCCGAAGAAAGGGACTGATATGTTTGCTTTACCTTATTCTTTATTTTTCTCCAGTTATAATGCTTTAGTTTCAATTGCCTAGTAATTAATGATTGTGAGAGGCTTTTAGGGCATGTTGCGAGATTTAGAGCTAGCTTACATAGGGAAGTGAGAAACTCCGTATGTAATGAAATTGGATCCCCTCTCAACCATAGGGTTGAGGTATTTACAGAAGTCCATGGGTCTAGATCTCAGACTCCCAAGAATTAGCAATCGCTCCTAGGAGCATGGGAATGAGGTAGTTAATCCCTTATTATTCAGGACAACGTGATAGATTCTCCTTGACTTCCACTACGCATTGTTACAGACTAATACACATCACTTCCACATTTCTCCTAGAAGGCGACCAATATGAGAAATTGGTGCCCTATCCAAATGATAGGTGTTAGACTAATAAACGGGCGATCATGAAGCTGTTTGGGCGACATGTTTGCCTCTTATGGGGCCTTTGAAAATATATCAATACACGGTCTCTCAAGCACGGGGGCTTGGAAAACGCGAAGTGGTTTAATCTTGATTTCCTCTCATAATATGAATGAGTCCCTCAGACATGCCTAGGGCGAGCCTCTTACGTACGAGGCAATTTCCTTAAGCCTGGGCAAGTCCCTCAAGCCGGAGGAGAGCTTGTGAATATAATTTGGGGTATCCCCCCCCCCCCCCCCCCCAAATGCCAACGAGGTGAATCATCGTATGTAAATTAGCTTAGGGAAATCCTAAATGTCAGTTGAGGGAAATCAAACGTCAGTTAAGGGAAAATATGTGTTGCATTGAAGGCGATCGATGATGATTTTTCCTTGGGAAACCAATTTTGGCTTTACTCCCTACGTATGTCTCTGATGTGGGAAATCTTTCCATTTTCTTTTAACTGTTGAGATGTCCAATGACAGTAGATTGTTAGAACAAGATTTGTTTATGACATATATCCTTTAGGTTTTAGTGATAACAAAATATTGAAAGAACAATGATGTTATCTAATGTGTGTTTAAGTTATGCATGTTCCAAAGCTTAAAGAGAATTTACTCAGAATCTGTTAAGAGAACGCATTTGAGAGAAGTCGAGTTCTTGGCTTCTGATGGTTCAGAACTGAAGGACGTTATTAAGTGAAGAATGATGATATAAGATTGTGTAGACTCTGAATCAGAATGTATTAGCATCAGAAGAGAAATATGTTATCTCTACACTTATTGAATATATTAGCTTCTGGTGATCATTCAGAACCGTATACAAAGCTAAGTGATTCGTACTGCATAAAACAAGTTACAATGTCAACTCAGTTTGTCAGCTAGAGACTGTGTTCACATGGCTCAAGGTGAATTGACATGCTTTACGGATATCCACTTTCAACGGATCTATAGTACAACTCCTAAGGAAGACGCCATAGTTAAACAAGTTACACAATGAATAAAGATATTTTTGTGTATCTATCTTCAACGTCTCTTAGTACTATAGAGTAACAAAGACACTTGTACAAGTTATCTCTTTCGACGACTATTCTTTTGTATATGCTATTTAAGTAGCTGAAGATTCAATTTGGATCAACAACAAGGAATAAAGAAAGAGGGATAAAAAGAAAAGGAGCGTCTCACGCTTCTATCAACATAGAAGAATAACAAGATCAATAACAATATCGAGTATGTAGAGTTTCTGTTATCTGTTGTAAATTGTACAAAGCCTTTGAAGGTGAGAAAAATACTTAGAGGGGGGGGGGGGGTTGAATAAGTATGACAAATAATCAAAGATTCAAACACAGTTATTTTTATCCTGGTTCGTTGAAATCAACTACTCCAGTCCACCCTCTCAAGAGTGATTTGCCTTTCTCAGTCAAGGACTTAATCCACTATTTAATCAAACAGATTACAATAGTAACACCTAAGAACAACTGTTCTTAGTCTTCTCAAGAGCTACTGATCCCAACTGGATCCTCTTAAGGAAACCTTTTACAATCAATGTAAAACTATTACAAGAGTAAGAGTGCTTCTAAAAAGCTATTATCATAACTGTGATATTTCTCTTAAGTTTAAGAACAATGTTATAGCAAATAGAATATAAGAGCTTTTGAGAGATTTGCTTTGATAAGTGATTTTTTTGCAAGAAGTTCGTCTCTGAAGAAGATGGAGTGGACTTCTTTATATAGGCACTTAGATCCATGAAGTCTTCTCAACGTTGGAGGCTGTGCTGAAAAAGCCTGGTGCCTTTTGTCTTTACGTTGGAGGTTGTGCTGAAAAAGTCTGGTGCCTTTTGTCTTCACGTTGCAGAAACTTTCCTTAGAATGGAATGCACAGATAAAACCTTTTTGTCTGTGTTCTTGTGTCTAGCACAAAAGAGGAAATAGCTGTTGAGATATGCCAACAGACATATTCAAATCTTCTTCACTAAGTAAGTTCAGCTATCAACATCAGAGTCTGGATCTTCAGAATCTCCAGAGTAGAGATCTTCTGGATCTTCAGAGTCTTGGGATGTTCTTCAGATTATGCTGAATCAGAGTATATGCAGCTTGTGTGCTTGAGCGTGTAGTTCTGTCAGAGCAGAGTCTTCTATATCAGATTCTCAATACTATGTAGCGCAGTATCTTCAGAGTCTTCTGATGACTAAGCTTCTGAACTCTCAGAGTCTTCTATTCTTTAGAGGCTTCTGCTTCAGAATCTTCAGTAGACAGCACTCAGATTCTTCTGGAGACAACGTTTAGATCTTCATTTAAGATGCTCTTGAACCTTTGAAGCCTTTCATAATATCATTGTTCAGATCCAAATTTGCTCTTTAAGAATATTTTCTTTAGTACCTGTAGCAAACAGTCTAGAACAAATTTAGAGTATATAATTCTTGAATACAAAATTCATAAGTGTTATCATCAAAACATAGAGATATTACTAAGAAACAATCTGTGTTCTTACAATCTCCCCCTTTTTGATGATGACAAAACATGAGAAATTTTGTTCAATAAAATGTATGGATTATAACTCTCCCTGAGATTAACAATCTCCCCCTGAAATGAATACTCTAATAGAAGAAAACACTTCCCTTTTTGATTAAGTATATTTCAGATTCAGAGCCTGATACAAGAGATTTGAATTTCAGAATCAAATCTTGATGCCAGATAATTATGACTTCCTTCAGTCAGAGCGCCTGGTTATCATCTTGCTTGAATTATCTTTCAGAGTAAAGGTATCAGAGTAAGATATCAGAGTTGATTGAATACTCAGATTTGCTTTGGAAGATCAGGTTCTGGTTGGAAAAGTCTCAGGGTAACTTCAATGAATTATGTTAGATATATCAATGTAATCTGAAAGACTTAAATTCAAAGTAAGTTAATAAAATGTCTGAATTTAAGTTTTAGTAATTGCTTATAGGTTGAACAATCAGATTCTCTTTTTCTCCCCCTTTTTGTCATAATCAAAAAGATTTTTAA